AGCTATAACCGTTTTAGAGAATATTCAGGAAGTGAATTTGACACTGTAAATATTATTTATTTAATTCAATGAGTTGTGTGAGTACAGATGAATATAAAGTGATAATGTAGGTATAATGTATATACTGGTGGTAACTTGTGAGTGAAATTGAAAACATTAAAAATCATAGTATAGTAAAAAATGCCTATTTATTTTGGTACTGTATATTATTGTAGCGGTAATGATTTTGAAACGTAAATGGCACAGCCGCTGAACAACCCCAGGATTTTCATGTGAGAAATCACCATTTTGATTACAAAAACTCTGATTATGTATTAAAGAGTTCCAATCGACGAAACATTCTGTTTATCTTCAAAACAGCTAGTTACAACACAATTGGTTTCAATGTCCGGTGTTATTCTTTTGTGGGTGGTGTTCATTAAAATAATTGAATTAAATGTAGGAGAGCAACTCAATGAAGGGAGCCATATATCAATAATTTGAATTATTTCTTCTTTTCGACTGACATTGTTACCCTATTTCTGAATTTCCATCGTCTCCCTGTACAGTGCGGACGCAAATAGTTCCCCCCCTCTTAAATTTCGGACGGGGGGTAAGATATCAGAGTCGGACATATTTAATATGAAGAAGAATCATTCTGAGTACTTTTTGTGATGTTTTTGTCTTGCTATATCTCTCCAATGGTACCTATATCGTTCGTTAGACCTCACACAATGTTTTCTCCATCCATCATTTTCGATTTAGGGTGAATTTGTTTGTTTTTTCCAGCTGAAATTCAATTGCTTCAAATTTGTCTACAATTTCTTTCTGCCTATCATTCCACAATATATTCTATTCTATTTTATTTTATTCTATCTTATTTTGTCAAGGGTCTTTATTTCCTTCTTAAAATGAAATGAATGTACGGTTCTTCGAATTGCAAGTTTAGTTTTCATCAGTAGTGATTTTGGTGACTTCATCGCTTCATTTTTTTATCATTTCCACATTATTAGAATGGAGTTTATGAATTGACTTGAGACCTTAGTGAGAAATAGTGAGGAGACCTGCGGAGGAGGCAGATTGACGCCCCGGCGTCAAGTCACATCAACTTCTTGTCGTGAAACAAAACTGTTTGCTTTGTTTCCCGAGCCTCAGTGCGAGCTCCGCACACTCTGAGGAAAATTGGAAAATCGGAATTGCCCATCATTTTGCAAATTCTGCTAAAACGTCTATTTCCACACACTTAGGTCAAAATCAAACACTACCTTGTACAACCAGTACAAATGTTAATATTGTACACTCATTTGAGAATGGACCGATTACTGAAGCTGAAATTCATGCTGCATTGACATTAATGAAAAATAAAAATTCGAGTGGATTAGATAACATGTCAATACCAGTTGTTGAAGAAATATTTGACATTATTGTATCTCCTCTCATTTATCTAATTAACTAATCCTACATGCTAGGCTACTTTCCAGAAGAGTTCAAGAAAGCCTTAGTCATTCCTCTTAAAAAAGGAAATAGAAATAACCTGAATAACTACCGACAAATTTCATTACTTTGCTCTCTTTCGAAGTTGTATGAAATAGTGGTGGCTACTAGAATAGTGTATTATTTAGAGTCAAATAGAATACTATGTAATAATCAACATGGATTTAGGAAAGATCGTTCCACAGAAACCGCTGCATATGATTATCTCAATAACATTTACTCCGAAGTTGATGCCAATAGTTTTGTAATTAGTATTTTTTTGGATCTGTCAATGGCATTTGACACTGCTTCATCAGATTTTCTATACATGAAGTTAGAGAGGCTTGGGTTTCCACATAACGTACTGACTTGGATAAAATCCTATTTGAGTGGTCGGCATTTGACAGTCAAATATAACAATATTGTGTCCAAGGAACATGATATGACATTAGGAGTTCCTCAGGGATCAGTACAGGGACCTTTACTTTTTGTGGTATTTGTTAATGATTTCTCAGAACATGTTAACAATTGCCACATAACTATGTTTGCAGATAAAAAAATTCAAATGTGTGGCTTATGTAAGAAATAATCTTGCATCTTTTGAGACGAATGGTTGTACTCATAATTATCATACACTTCATGGTGGTATGTTAAGAATATCCTCACACAAATCAAATAAATTAAAAAATTCTCCAATACACAATGCTATCTCACTTTACAATAAATTACCTGATTCAATCAAGGAGTCAAAATCATATAAAATCTTTAAGAATAATACGAAACTATTCTTAATAAAAACATGTTTTCATAGTTTAAAAGACTATTGGAGTGATAATTCCTGGGAATAATTCCCAATGTAATATAATATATGTATTTGTTTTTAAATTGTAACATTTATATATTAGGTGCCGTGTTTTATGTTTTTATATTCATATTTTATCTTTATTCTTCAATTTGTTATTCAAGTATGACTAACTATTATTTTTATTCTCAATATGTATATAACATATATTACAATTATTGACTTACCATATGTACATTATGTACCGATAATGGTTAATAAAATTATTATTATTATTATGCCTTACACCACTTCATGCCGTCAATTCAAATTGATCAATCTCTACTTGAGATTCCTAAAAATATTCCCTTAGCTGATCCAGAATTCTTTAAACCTACTGAAATCGATGTTCTTATTGGGGTAAAATTGTTCTACAAATTACTCAGCATAGGCCAAATCTCATTAAAAGGCCAGCCAAATGCGGTTCTTCAAAAAACTAGGTTTGATCGTAGCTGGTGAAATCGAAAATCCTGTCGCTACTAGACTCATAACTTGTCACTTAGGCTTACATGCAGAACAATTTGATTCTGATCTTACTCGCTTCTGGGAAATCGAAGAAATTCCCTCATCAAAACTTTCATCCCCAGAAGAAAAAGCATGTGAAGTACATTATTCACTTCACACTACTCGAGATAAATCTGGTCGATATGTCGTTAGGCTTCCTTTTAATGACAAAATTCAAAATTTTGGAGAATCTTATTCAACTGCTTTATGTCGTTTTTACGCCTTAGAAAGGCGATTCCAAAAGGATCCAGATCTTCAACACCAATACTCTGATTTTTTGATCGAATATCAAAAGCTGGGTAATATGTCTCGTATTTCCGGTCAAGACGATACTGCCAGGGGTTTTTATCTTCCCCATCATGCGGTTAGAAAGGACGACAGTTTGACTACCAAAATTCGAGTCGTATTTGACTGTTCGGCAAAAACATCAACCGGTATTTCATTAAATGATACTTTAATGGTAGGTCCTAAAGTACAAGATGATCTGTTTATAATTTTGCTTAGTTATCGTTTGCATCTATATGCACTTACTGCCGATGTTGAAAAAATGTATCGACAAATTCGTGTACATCCAGATGATGCAATCTATCAAACGATTCTTTATCGTGAAAGTATTAGCGATCCGATTGAGACTTATATTCTTGAAATTGTCACATATGGCACAGCTTCTGCCTCTCATCTAGCTATTCGATCCTTACAGCAGCTAGTTGAGGACGAAGGTCATTACTATCCACTTGCTTCTGTATCTTTAAAAAAAGATTTCTACGTGGATGATCTTCTAACAGGTGCGAAAACACTGCCAAAAGCAGAGCTATTGCGCGATCAACTACAAGATTTAGTTAAGAAAGGTGGCTTTCAATTACGAAAATGGGCTTCAAATCATCCGTCTCTTATATCCAATTATTCTGAGCATCCAAAAAATACTCATATGTGCCTTGATCCTGAATCGTCTGTCAAAACCCTCGGTATCCACTGGAACTCTAAAAGTGATATACTGTTTTATTAGTTTAATTCAACTATTTCAAAAACTCTCACCAAACGAAACATCTTATCTCAAGTTGCAAAACCTCGTCTAGCTGATCATGAGTCAGGTTCTCTCTCTGATTACCGCGTTGTGCCTTCGCGACCTTTTTTGAAAACGGGTATCGACTACTGTGGCCCACTATACATTAAAGAAAAGCGATTCCGTAATCTGAATAAACTCAAGGTCTACGTTGCAGTTTATATTTGCATGGTCACTAAGGCTATCCATTTAGAGCTTGTTTCCGATCTTACTACAGAAGCTTTTTTGGCTAGCATTAAGCGCTTTTTTGCTAGGAGAAGAAAGTCTCTTGAAATCTTTCCTTACAACGGTACTAACTTTGTCGGCGCTGACCGTAAGCTGCAAGCCTTATTCAATTCAGCTGATTATCAAACCGATATGAAACAACATTTTGATAATGAAAGAATCATTTGGCATTTCATACCACCCCGAGCCCCTCATTTTGGAGAACTTTGGGAATCTGCAGTCAAATCATTTAAAAAACATTTACTCCGCACTCTCGGAGATACATTGCTTACATATGAAGAATTAGAAACATATATAATTGAAATCGAAGCGATATTGAACTCTCGTCCTTTATCCTCGAATCCCAACGACATTTTGCCTTTGACTGCCGGCCATTTTCTCACTGGTGCTCCATTGACAAGCTATCCAGAGGTTGACTTCACTAACACTCCATCTAACCGATTGTCTGCCTGGCAACATGCGCAGAAATTAAAGCAGCACTTTTGGGATCGCTGGCATAAGGAATATCTAAATAACCTTATTAGCTCGCATCAATGTTCTAAATCAACTAGCAGGATTCAAGTTGGAGATATGGTTCTGATCCATGAAGACAATCTATCCCCACTTGTTTGGTCCATTGGAAGAATCACCGCAATCCATCCAGGAGAAGACAGCATTGTGCGTGTAGTGACTTTAAAAACCAAAAGTGGCGAGTGCAAGTGCTGTACTAAAAAACTTTGCCCTCTACCCTTCAATTAACGGCTTTATTTTATTTTATTGAACTTGGACAGTTCAAGGATGGCGGCATGTTCGGTCTCAAGATCTTACTGTCGAGTTTATTATGTTTTTTCAAGAGAATCTTAATTTTTTAGTATTCAGCCTAGAGTTGCCAGCTCTAACATTTGTACAACAAAACAGATTATTTTATGGCATTATTTTTATTTTATGTATTATTAACTAATCTTGTTCAAGTTATTTAATTTTTCATTATTTATAATCGGGGTTTTCCAGTTGGTCTCAAATTTACGGGCCTTTCTAATCCACTTATTCTCATAAAATTCAATATTCCCAAATACCTTGAATACTCAATATTCAACCCAAATTCTCAATCAACCCGTACATTTTTAATTATTCAATTATTCCTTGTTTCCCTTATCTTGGGAATTACTCGTTATTATGATATCTCCTACCTATGTTAATCCAAACCTTTGTTTATCCCTCATTAATATAAGACTTTTCTGTACAAGTTGAGGATAGTGTAAACACTAGAACCTGGTGACCCTGAGAGACAATTGGGGTTTTGTCGATGGTTTATGAATAAATGCAGACAAGATCCAGACTTCTATAGAAATATTATATGGAGCATTGAAGCCATATAGAGTAGCCATAATCTATTTCTAGTCCATCCCCAGAATCTGCAGAGACGATTTAGTAATAATGTTTGATGTGGTCTATTTAGAGACAGAATTATCGGTCCATTTGTTTACAATGGTTGTCTGAACGGACCCCGTTACATTAATTACATAACAAGAGTGTTGGAAGAGTTTTTTGATAATCTTGATCTAGAGGCTCGTCAGATGATATATATCCAGCAAGATGGAAGCACCAGCACATAATTTCAGTGGCGTAAAAAGAATGT